GGATGCTCCGGTGGTGGAGGGGCGCGGACAGGTCATCCATGGACCTCCGCATGGCCCCGGCCTTGCTGTCGCCGGCCTTGTGGTGGTGGAGGTGGTGATGATGGTGGTCGGGGCTGCCGGCGCTGCCCGTGCTGGAGGTGCTGCTCCCGTCCCCCACGTCCCTGGGGGCCGAGCCGCCGAAACCTGGCTGTCGATGGAGCTCCGCGAGCCGGCCCCGCTCCGCTCCTCGTCCAGCATGAGCACCATCTCCTTCAGCTCCACGTTCTCCCGCAGGAGGGTCTCCTGCCTCGCCTCCAGGTCCTTCAGCTTCTGCTGGTACATGCCCACCTCTTTCCACATCACGCTGGCCGTGTGTCTCCCGAAGCGCTGCCATTCCCTCGACAGCTTCTTGCCTTTCTGCCGGTCGTCGTCCAAGAACTCCGCTCCTCGTCCAGCATGAGCACCATCTCCTTCAGCTCCACGTTCTCCCGCAGGAGGGTCTCCTGCCTCGCCTCCAGGTCCTTCAGCTTCTGCTGGTACATGCCCACCTCTTTCCACATCACGCTGGCCGTGTGTCTCCCGAAGCGCTGCCATTCCCTCGACAGCTTCTTGCCTTTCTGCCGGTCGTCGTCCAAGAAGCAGCAGAGCTCCCTCAGCTCCTGGTTGTCGTCCTGCAACTTCTGGTTCACCTCCTTCAGCCCGCGGATCTCGTGCAGGTGGAGCTGCAGCCGCCGGTTCACGTCCTTCATTAAGTTGCCGTGTTCCACCATTAAGTTCATCTTTTCATTCTCCACTTTCCTCAGTCTTTTCACCAGCTCTTCCTTGCTCCACCTCAGCATCTCCTCTTCCGAAATTTTGCTCAGGTCTTCTTTAGACCCTTCCAGGGAATTTTTTGCCATCATCTGTGCCTAGGAAGCGTTTGCTCTCACACAGTAACAAATGGTTCGGGTTCTTCGGATTATTTTGTTCGCCTGATTTCCTGGGACTAAAATTCACAGCAGCATCTTGGGGAAGAAATATTATAGTTCTCCGCAGAGCGCTGGACAAGGAAGGAGACCAATGCCCGACTGGAAGATCTGCTTCCCCACAGACCCCATAATAATAATAAT